GAGGAGGAGGAGAAGGAGGAGAAGGAGGAGGAGGAGGAGGCGCAGGAGGGGGGGGAAGACGAAAACCCAGAAAACACTGGAAGCTATGTTCGAATCCTGGGAACCTCTGGGGAATCTGGGGGATCCTGGGGGGATCCTGGCGATCGCCTCGCGCCGCTGCCGCGGCGGCGTCCCCCACAGGCAGGCCGCGGCTGGGGGGCGGAGGTGCCCGCTCGAGCTGGTTCCGCAGCAGCGACAGCTCGTTGCCACCGTCCGCCCGCATCACCGAGAAGCAGAAGAGCGACGGGTACGGGTTCCTGCCCCGCCCGAGCGCGCCCGCCTCCTTCCTCCTTCCTTCCTCCTCCTTCCCCCTTCCTCCTCCCTTCTTCCTCCTTCCTCCTACACCTCCTTCCTCCTTCCTCCTCCTTTCTTCATCCTTCCTTCTCCTCTCCCCTTCTTCCTTCCTTCTCCTCGTCCTCCTTCTCATTCACTCTCCCTCCTCCATCTGCCTCCTCCTCTTCCCCCTTTTCGCTCCCTCCTCCTCTCTCTCCCTCCCTCTCTCCTCCCTCCTCTTCCCTCCTCCCTCCTCCTCCCTACTCCTTCCCGCCCGACTGCAGTACGGCAGGTTCGTGCCGTGTCGACCCCGGCGTTGGTTCCCGACACCGCGCTGGATCGTTCAACCTTGAACGATCGGCCGTCTCCGCAACGTCCGATCGTTCAACATCGACCGATTCTGGGCCGCCGGCGGCGTTCAACCTTGAACGCCCGCGCTGGGGTCGCCGCCGGTCGACACGACGCGAACCTACCGTACACGCGAAGAATCAAAGGCCTCCTCCACCTCCTTCTCCTGCTCCTGCTGCTGTTCCTCCTCCTGCTCCTGCTCCTCCTTCTCGTCTTTCTCGTCTTTCTCGTCTTCCTCCTCGTTTTTGTTCCTCCTTATTATTCTCCTTCTCCTCCTCCTCCTCCTCCTCCTCCTTCTCCTCCTCCTCCCTGCTCTCGCGTCATTGTCCTCCCCCCGCTCAACCCCTCAGGTCTCCCGTTCTCGCTCCGACTCCGGCGAAGGGGAGAGGAAAGAGCGGGGGGGCGAGGGGAGGAGGAGCGAGAGGTAGAGCAGAGGGGGCCCCCTGCCTCCTCACTCTGCTCTTCCTGTCCTGTCTCCCCTCTTCCCTCCTCCCACCTTCTTCCCCCTTCCTCCCCTCGTCCTCTCCCTCATCCCCTCCACAAATACGCACACATTATGACAAGTAGTCCCCTCTCTGCCCTTGCTCCGTCCGGAACATGGCCGCTTCTCTCTACGTACGGTTATGTTTGTGCCACCTCATAGTTCAAACTTTGATGTTCTTTGTACTATCCGATTGCTGTCGGTGTTTCAAACGGTGCTCCCGCTGCAGCGTGGGCCCCATCTTCGGAACAGCGCTTTGCTTCCGTCGTTTAGAGTGGCGCTCTCGCCTCCACATGGGTCGCTTTTGTGGATCTGAGTCCTTGCTCAACGCTGTCGCCTCCCTCATTTCCCCTCCTCCGCCTTCCCCTGGTCCTTCTGCTCCTCGCGCTCCTGCCCCTCCGATTCCTGCTGCTGCTGCTGCTGCTGCTGCTGCTGCTGCTGTGCCGGTCGTCTTCGCCCTCCTCCGTCCACATCCTTCTCGCTTTCCCCATGCTCATCCTCCTGCTCATCCTCCTGCTCGTTGCCCTGGGGGCTGGGGGGACACCCCGCGTGGTATTATGTGACACTGACAATTGCATGACAAGGGGAAACATTTAAACCATGCGTGACGAGTCCATGGCACTGCCGCATCGCTGGAACGATTCAAGCATACAACGTCTTGTTCGTTACCGACACAAGAGCTCCTCCTCCTCCTCCTCCTCCTCCTCTTCCTCCTCCTCCTCCTCCCTCCTCCTCTCCTTCTTCCTCCTCCTCCTCTTCTTCTTCGTATTCTTCTTCTTCTTCTTCCTCCTCCTCCTCCTCCTCATCCCCCCTCCTCCTCCTCCTCCTCCTCCTCCTCCTCCTCCTCCTCCTCCTCCCGCCACCTCTTCCTCCTACTTCTCCTTCTCCGACGTGCGCAGCTCCTCTTTCCCGGTGGCACAGAAAAAACCAGGGGGGCCTGCTTCTGGAGTTCCAGGTCGACCATGACACGCGTCCGCGGATGGACAAAACAACAGCACAGTGGGAAGGGATGAGCGGGAAGGATCGGATGTCAGATGTGGCGCAAGCGCACCTGACTTGTCTCTCTCTCTCTCTCTCGCTCTCTCTGTCTCTCTCTCTCTCTCTATCTCTCTCCTTCTCTCCCCTCTTCCTCTCCCCCATCCACCCCCTACTCTTCCCTCTCCCTTCTATTCTCCCTCCTTGCGGCCCTCCTTCTCCCCCCCATCCATCCTCCTGGAGGAAAAAAAAAAAACGCGAGGGCCAAACCAGAACAGCAACACCGCCGCTGATGCTGCTGCCGGCGCACTGTCTTCGTTGGTGGGAGATGAACGCACTCCACCTCGTCAACGCGTTGCCGGGCCTCTGCCCGCGTCTCCCCAGCGGCGGCCCAGACAGGCGCCTCCCCTCGGTGTGGTCGCTCCTCGGCGGCCGGCTGCGAGGACGGGAGGGCGGAAGAGGACGGGGGGGCGAGGCAGCGCCGAGCGGGGAGGAGGGTCGAGGAGAAGGAACAAGGGGGACGATGATGCTCGCTGTGCTAAAACGACGCGAAGATCGGGACAACATCGGATCGGGATGACTCGAAATCTCTGAGAATCGGCGGGTTTGGAGGATGTATTGGGCGCCGCGGCCGCTCCAGAGCGTTCCGGAACGCTCTGAGAGCGCTCCAGAACGCTCTGGAGCGATTTATCCCGATCCTGGCCCTGTTTTATGTGCCCTGCCCCTGGTCGTGTCCGCGAGGATGTCGTCGTAGTGTTCGTCACCTGCGCAGGCCGGCCAGTCGGAAGCGCTCTCAGCACCGCCAGCTCCCATTCTCCCAGTGTCCAGGGGTCCATGTGGACATAGGGACGACGCCCCCCACCGCGCCCCCTCCTCTTCCCCTCATGGTCGTCCTCCTCTCCCCCCGTCCCTCCCCCCGTCCGCCCCACTGATACTCCTGATCGTCATTCCTTTCCCTCGCCCACCCGACCCCGCGCCCTATGCCCTTCTACTCCTGCTCCTCTCCCCCCCAGCTCCCCTTATCCCATTATTATTATTATCCTTCTTTTTCTTTTTCTTCTTCTTCTTCATATAATTACTTTATTATTCTTTTTCACCTCAGGCCCGTAGCTGTTGTCGATCCCGACGCGATTTTTGCGGCAACCTCGCTCCACCGCAGGTCACGAGGCGATGCCAAGTTCGAGGCGCCGCTTGGACAGGCTCCCGCCAGTGCGGCGCGGAGCGGCAGAACCGAAAGATGGAGGAGAGGAAGCGAGCCCTGACTCCGGATCCGCCCTACTTTGGGGAAATTCGTAAGTGGGGCTTGGAATTTTCGCCTTACTTTTCAAGCCCCGCTGATGCCAGTTTCCGCCCTACTCTTCTGTTGCTGTTTCCGCCCTATTTCCGTGGATTTCCGCCCTATTTTATGTTGGGTGCAGAAATTTCCGCCCTACTTTTTCGGCTTCTTATAGGTGGATTTCCGACGCAATTTTAAGTTGGAAAAAAAGCCAAAGTAGGGCGGATCTGGAGTCAGGGAGGGGGATCCAGTACCCCCCCTCCTCTCCCTCCTTCTCCTTGCGTCCTTCGGTCGCGCCCCTGCCTCCCCTCCCCCCCCCCCAGCTCCCTCCTCCCTCGAGATCTGACGCTGCGCAAACTTGCAGCATCGCGAGGAGGAGGAGGAGGAGGAGGAGGAGGAGGAGGAGGAGGAGGAGAGGAGGAGGAGGAGGAGGAGGAGGAGGAGGAGAGGAGGAGGAGGAGGAGGAGGAGGAGGAAGAGGAGGAGGAGGAGGAGGAGGAGGAGGAGGAGGAGGGTTCGAGCGCCGGGTCGAGCGGCAGAGGGTCCCCGGGCCCCCGGAGCCAAGGCGCAGCCGCCCGGCGGCCTGAACAAAACAGTTGCGCCGCCCGCATCGCCAGGTCCCTCGGTGCCCTGACTCCAGATCCGCCCTACTTTGGCTTTTCTCCAACGGAAAATTGCATCGGAAATCCACCTATCAGAAGCCGAAAACGTAGGGCAGAAATTTCTGCACCCAACGTAAAATAGGGCGGAAATCCACGGAAGTAGGGCGGACACAGGAACAGAAAAGTAGGGCGGAAACTGGCATCAGCGGGGCTTGAAAAGTAAGGCGGAAATTCCAAGCCCCACTTATGGATTTCCCCACAGTAGGGCGGATCCGGAAGCAGGGGTGCCCTCCTGCCTCGCGCCGCGCGCCGGGCGGCGGAACGGGGCTGGACCCGAACGGTGTGTTGCGTTTTCGTGTGGTTTTCGTTGTCCCTCCTTTTGCCATCCGTCCGCCTGGATAGCGCAGAACGGAGCCGAAACGAAAACGGGCCACGAAGTCGCCGAAGCACCGCTGAGGTCCACCCCCGGTCCCTCTGGCCCTCCTGCCTCGTGCCGTGCGCCGGGCGGCGGAGGAGGCGGGTGGCGGTCACCGTTCTGGTGGAAGTCGTCGTGGCCGTGGTCGTTGTCGTGGTGGTCACGGTGGAGGTGCCGGTGCTGCGCGCGCAGCAGCGCGGCGGCGACGAGGCGAGGCGAGAGAGACCCCCCCACACGTTCTCGCGCGGCAGAGGAGAACGAAGGAAAAGCCGACGGCTTCTGGTCGCTTTTGGCCTCTGGGGGCCCTTGCCAGGCCCCGGGGCCGTCGAGAAACTGTGTTCTTGTTGTTTCCCCACCACCTGCCCATGCCGTGAAACCACAGTGGACGGCGTTGGACAGCTTTCGGTGACGATCCACGTCGTGTTTCCAATCGCAGACGAAGCGTTTGACATACCAGCCAATGCAGTCCAGAAATACCTACTGACTTACGGTGGCTCGAGGCCAGCCCATGTCCTGCTGGGCTTCACGCCCAGGGACTTCTCCGACATTGGCAGCAAAAACATCGTGGCATACAAGGGTGTTCTGAAGCCTCTCCCCATGCGTTGGAGGCCAAAGTACGCATACGCATCGAGTCCTAACATAATGCCGTTCGCGCGATAGTCGAGGAGACGATCGCCATGGCAAACTGCACAATGCCGAGAAAACAGAAACCTTTCCAAGATCAACGTTGGCCAAACAATAAACCTGCATCGGGCGCCTGATCTGCATCAGTGCATACTGCAGCCTCCTCCTCCTCCTTCTCCTCCTCCTCCTCCTCCTCCCCCACCTTGCAGCGCCGCCCGACCGAGACAGTCAGGTTGCTTGTGCCCCTGCCCTCGGTCGGACGACTGGCTGCGCGAGCTCTTCGGCAAGTTCGTGGCCTGCTTCATCTTTGGGCGAGGGGCGCAGGGATTCAGCCCCTGGTCGTCACAGCCCCTCGCCCACAAGTACTACGGTTACTGGCAGTTCGGCTTCAGTTTCCGCGCCCCGTTCGGGTTCGGCCACTTTTGCGAGGATTACCACCTGTGCTTCGAGTGCCGCGAGTGGGTCTCAGGAGGCGTCAACAAGATGCCCTTTCAGCACGGGGGGGATTTCCACGGGTGCTTCGATTACTCCGCCCTCGACTCAGATGACATCTGTGCCAGAGGCGGTGGGTCTTGCGTCGGGCTGGGACGACGCAAACCACGACCCCTTCGATGACCTGGATCACATGTTGGATGCGGAAGCGGCAGAGTCCACCGACGCCGTGCCCACAGGTACTGAGGGTGCCGAGGAGCTACAACCTGCTGCCCCTCAAGTCCTTGGCCCCTGCTGACCCCTGTCCCCTGTCCGCTTCAGGGCGAGGAGGGGAACGTCTCAGGAACGTGGCCGAAGCTGCTGAGGACTCTAAGTTATTGGAGGATGCGGCCCCAGTCCCACAGCTCCCAGTACTGCATAAACTTTCTGGGCGGCCTGATCTGGTGGCTCCTCTCGCTGCAGATGATGGTTCATGTTCTTTTCTGTGTGGTAATATCTCAGAATGGGGTCCACAGGCTCGTAAGTTTCTTAACACCACCTCGTTCGCCATGGTGTGCTTTGTGAAGATGCACGTGTTACAATCCAGGTTTGCCGGTGGCATTGATCAGACCTTTGATGCTGACGGGTGGAAAAACGGCTTACACGGGCAGCAAGGCGACAGGCAAGGGTTGGCACCCATGGTCCTGCATCCCAGCAGCGGCAATGTCGTCATCGTGACCATCTATCTCTGGCCTGGATTTTCTACATCAGGCCACGACCAGTCTATTTTGATCAGCTTGGGTGCTTTTCTGTCGGCGTTAGCCGACCCTTGGATTGTTGTTGGCGACTGGAATCTGGAGCCTACTGCATTTCTGCGTTCAGGATGGCCCTCGAAATTGCAGGGCGAGGTTTTGTATCCTGACGTGAAGGTCACCTGCGACAAAGCGGCTCAAGGTACACTGATCGACTATGGCTTGGTCAAGCAAGGCACTACTGATCGCTTTCGCATGCGAGGTTTTGCGTCAGTTCCGTGGAAGACGCACATTGCCTTGCAAGTTGACACCCTTGGGTCCAAACAGAGGTGGTGGCATCAACGCCTTGTCACGGCACCAGCTTTCCCGACAGTCCGCCGCCCCAAAAAGCAAGCTGACCCAAGCAGTAAGGCCTCGATTGAGAAACAGGAAGCGCTTATGCAACGTCGGGCGAGGCCCCCAGAAGATCTTCAAGCTGAATTTGACCTGCTTCACCAAGCGGCTACGGCCACGGCAGCAGAGGCTGACTCAGTCTCTTTCTATCTTTCTGAAGAGGTTTGGCCCTCAGGCGCTATTGCTGTGCCACCGCTCGGGGAGATCAGCCGACGCACGCTGAAGCAGCACTTCCTTGGTGATAATAATGCATCGGGCTCGTCGCAGCTCACCAGCAGGTGCAACACCTGGATCACCAAGATGGAGATGGCCTCCAGTGTTCACCATCAGCAGGAGGACTTCGAGCCTCTGCGTGGAGCAGGTTCCCAGCTCAAGTGGCAGTTGTCGCAGGCTGCTCCAGGCCGTCCTCATCTCTCCGACCCAGTGGGCGAGCAGTGGGGCATTGTGCACACGCCGGTCTTACGGACGGCGTCGTTGGCCAAGCATGGGCGTGACCCCAAGCGGCTGTCCGATTGCTGTCAGCAACTTCAGCGGCATGTTGCTCATTTTCAATCATCAGACACTGCTGATTATTTTGGCACATCTGGTCAGGAGGAGCGTGATCGCTGGCTTTGTTGGTCGGCCACCATACCCTCGGCCAATCATGATGAACTCGACGACTGGGCACATTTGACGGAACGACTTGCTCATCGTGCGCAGGCCCGCTCTCTCACAAAGGGCAAGCACCAGTTCACCAAATGGGCCCTAGAGCAGTGGCGTCAACATCCTGGGCGTCTTCATGCGATGGCTCGCGACCCTCAGCCTGCGGCGCATGAGAGTTATCGTCATGGGCAGGTTATCTCGGGGCCTTCGGAGTTCATGGGCGACAAGCGGGAGGATTGGCGATCCTTGTGGACTGACGCAGTTGACGATGCTGAGGCCATCGCCCATATGATTCAGCAGTTGCATTGCGAGTCTCGGCGAGACCCCTTGCCCCCCTTGGAGTTGGCGTCTTTGGAGCTCGTGGTGGCCAAGCTTCCTGCGGAGGCCTCGGGCGTCGATGCTCTTACTCCTCGTGATCTTCAAAGGGCCCCATCCCACAGGTCGGGTGGAATTATTGGAGTTGCTTGACCAAGTTGAGCAGGAAGGAGTCTGGCCAGCGCAGCTGCTTGGCACAATTTGCGCTCTCCTTCCCAAACCCAAAGGAGGGGGGAGGGTCATTGGGCCCTTGGCCGAATCCGCGAAGATCTGGAGCCGCCTGCGCTATGGTGCTGCCTCAGAGTGGACTGAACGTTGGAGGCGCACGGGGACACGGCCATTGCAGGCAGCAGCGCCTTACGCGCCGCTCTTCTGAGGGCTCTCCGTGACGAGACGGCGACGGTGCTGGGCATCACGGTGGCCACGCTGCTGCTGGACTTCGAGAAGTTTTGCGACTCGCTGTCCTGGGTCCTTTTGGGCTGCGCTGCGCAGCAGTTGGGTTACCCGCCCATAGTGGTATGCCTGGAAATGCAGTCATGTGCTGGTCCTCGCTTTCTTCGTGGCCAGAAGGGAGCGTCCAGCGCCATCCTGCCGACTCGGTCGCTGGTGGCGGGTTCCCCTCATGGGGTGCGGTCAGCCAAGCTCTTCCTGCACCCGCTGCTGCAGCGTGCTCAGTCCAGAGCCGACTTTACGACCTTTTGGACATTCATCGACGATGCTGCGTTGCGTTCAGAGGGACCGCAGGACATGGTAAAGACTCGCATGGTTGCGCCTGCTACTGAGTTTCAGCAGGGTTTGGACACTATGCGGTTGGTGGTCTCCTCTAAGGCGGTGCTCATGTCTGATGGGGCCAGCTTGGGCAAGAAGTTGGCCAATAAGCTCCGTCGCAAGTCGACTCCAGTTCAGTATTGTTTGGAGGCGGTAGACCTGGGTGTTGACGCTACGGGCGGTGGACGGATAACGGTCCGCAAATCTTCCCAACGCGCTGCAAACGCTTCTCGCCGTGCTGCTCGTCTGCAGCGTTTTCGGCGTCATGCACGACCCCACAAGGTCTCTCAGGGCCTGTGGAAGACTGGAGCGTTGCCGCAGGCAACATATGGACATCCAGTTCATGGCCTTGCACCCTACCAGCTCCTTCGCCTTCGACGTCAGGCGGCTACTGCAGGGGCAGGCCCGTTGAAGGGCAGGTGCTTGACCAGTACATTAGCCATAGTGTATGGCCAGAAAGATCCCGCCTTGGAGCTGAGACGCCAGCGTCTGGCCGAGTATCTTACGGTCTGGCGCCTTCACCCTGGATTTCATCAGAGAGTAGAAACATCCTGGCCAAAAATTCTTCGTCGTCTGGAGATTGCTGGGCAGTCAGGGCGATGGCGATTGGTCAAGGGACCAGTGTCTGCAGTGATTGCCACGTTGCTTGATGCTGGCTGGAAGCCCTCCTCAGCTACTTCCTGGTGGCGCCCAGAGCATGATGGATTTGCTGCTCTGGATGGGCTTTCTGGCGATGAGATGGATGTGGGAGGAGTGCTTGAAGATGTGATGCTTAATGTTCACGCTCAGCTTTGGTCTCGAGCTTCTGAGCACGAGGGAGCTGAAAATCTCGCTGGAGGTGCTGATCTCTATTGGGCTCGCCGAGAGTTTGTGAAGTTCTCGCGGAATGGGGATTACGACCAGGCTGGCCAGACACTTTGCGTGGCTGCTGGAGCGCGGTGGCCGCGGGTGCGCCAGTTCCCGACGGGCACAGAGGAGCAGCAGCTGTGCCCCAGGTGTCTGAAGGCGCCTGAGACTCTGAGGCACCGCGTCTGGGAGTGCGAGTGTGATAAGGATCATGCGGATTATTACTTTTCCGCTCCCCTAGTGTCTCAAGCACTCGTTAATTGTGATATGAATCCTGCCTTGTGGCTTGGAGGTGTTCCCCCGAGCGACCATACTCACCCTGAGTTTGTGGACCCACCCGAAGCGGAGGGTTTGAAACCTCTCGTCTCGACGTCCCTGACCGATCTGTCCTCTGTTGGCCCTGACCCCCTGGTCGTTTTTGGGGACGGTTCAGGAGGGCGTTTTTCCTCCGACCCTCGGCGCCGCCGTTGTGGCGCGGCTGTTGTTTCGGTCAGGAGAATCCCAGGGACGTCGACGTGGGAAGTGGTCGGGGGCGCTTCTGGAATTTTAGTGGGAAGAGCCCAAACGGTCCCCCGCTCAGAGTTGCTGGCTTTCGCCTTGTGCCTTGAGGGCACCACTGGCCCCGTTCATTATGTCAAGGACCACTTTCCCTTGATTACTGGTTGGGAACGGGGTCGGGTCAGTGCGGTGGGCGGGAGGAACTGGGATTTGTGGCTCCGAATTAAGACCGCCCTTGCTTCGCGAGGTGAAGGTTTAGCCACCTTGGAGTGGACGGCTTCCCACTTGGACACGGAAGCCGAGGGCCTGACGGCCCACCAGGTTTTCCTCAGGTCTGGAAATC